CAAAAACAGCTCCTCTGTGTAAATGCAGACTTAACTAATGATAAGATAAAACGCTGCTGGTCGTTGAGCAGAGTAAAATTGCAACTTCATGACATCAAAAAGAGACATTTGTCGTGCCAATATCCTCGTGGGCAGCACACTGACATATAGCGTAACTGCACTTCGGGCGTCCCAAGTTCAAGTCCCGGCTCGCGGACCTTTCCCGATCCCATCCTCTTCTCTCTCTCGCTCACTTCCTGTCAATACGGTACAAACTGCATCAATGCCAGTAGATATGCACATAAAGTCACACAATCCAAAATATACGCTTGTAATCGGTGAGAAGTTAACTAAATATTTTATATTAAATATTTTTAAATATTAAATATATACAAAATATTAACTTTTTTTTTTTTTTTACATTTATCTTCCAAGGCAAAAGTCTTTAACACGAATGTACGATATGGGAATAAAGTTGGTGTTAATGGTTAGTGAGTGAATCAGGGAGGTGACGGCAGTAGAGGGAGGGGTTCAGGGACACTTGTCTCTAAGCTGTTTGACTTTTTGACACAGTCTAAATCTAATCATCAGAAAGCTTTAGAGGTGAAGTGGACTATCGTAGCAGAGTCAAATCCTCTGAAAATTAAGCCCATTAATCAAACTCACAGGCTCATTTGCCATTTTTATAGAAGTGGCTGATTTGCAGTTGGGTTCGTAGGGACGGTGGAGGAGGAGGGTAGAACAAAAGAGAAAGGGTTTCACGAAGCAGGAGAATATCCATCAATTCTCATTAAAGAAAACTAAATCATCTCTCCTAATTAGAATGTTTTTTTTTTACCACGGTAAAATACAGAGTAAAGCAAGTTAGCCGCCGCACTGCCATCTCTGATTAATTAGGTAAATGCATATAAGGTAGCAAGTTCGTGGTAAAGGCTTATTAAATGCAAAGTGTAATTTATAGGAGGTCGAGTCCACAGAGAAAATATTATCACCATTTCCCGTGAGGTAATTTACTGATCCCGTCCCACTTTGCTCTTCCATTCTCATTGTACTCCATTATTTGCTTTGCTTCTCTCTCTTTCTCAGACTCACTGACTCACTCTTACTTAATGCAGACATCAGCAACTATAAGTCCCTGTGCACCTTAATTTAAACAACAATACAGAAAATTGCTATAATAAATATGATAGTTTCTTCAATGTGACCTGGTCTTTTAAATCTTTCATAGTATCATATCGCCGGGCACATCTTTACTGGAAAATCTGCTAGCGATGATTTTGTGCAGATGCAACAAATACAAAAGATGATGCATAACTGTTCTTTAAAAAAAAAAAAAAGGACAGTACTTGCCATTTACTGTAGAAATAACAGCAATGTGTACTTATAAGCAACTTTCCTGCAATAACTATTTATTTGTGGCTAAATATGTCATAATGCACAGTCAGAATAAACCCTGACAGGGTAATGAAGAACTGGGCAGGAAGTGGAGGAGTCTTATATCACCCTGAAGAGGTTTATTTCGTGATTATGGCCATACTTTTTATGTGGGAAATAAATAAATAGAAGGTGATGGAAATACTTATTCAAGTTGAAATGATTTTATTATGGAAGCAGAGAGTGTTATGAGAGACATGAAACCAGCACACTGAAAGAGATTGGTTGGCAGTGACAACAGGTACATGACTATACATAAACAGACAGTTTAGTGGTTATTATACAACAATTTGGAACACTGAATGATGTGATTGGCCAATCAGAATCAAGGATTCCAGTGAGTTGTATGATAAAATGCAAAAAGGATTTGCCCCAGGGCATTGTGAATATTTATACAGTGAATGCACACAGTTTTGAGTGTTACTCTGTATTTATTTATGTAAATAAATACAGAATACAGTGAACACTGTAAGGTAAAGTGAGACAGCAAATATTCACACGATTGCTTACACCTGGAAGATCTGAGGGACGAAATGTTGCTCTGGTTATATTTCTTTAGTAGACCTCCTCATCTGTCAGTCAGAGTGATTGACAATGATATTTTTTCAGCCTACTTCATCAAAAACAGCAGCCTTTGTCACACAGTCTTCCTATGATGCTTTCATGTCACGTCGTGCCATCCCTATTCGACTCGCCCGCTTTGTCCCACCATGACGAATCTACCATTTTACATGAGCCACACAGGGGCCGAAGCTCATCTCAAGCCGCCTCTCAAACAAGGCCTGTTCAATACAGCCACGTATTAACACTGGCTGGTGTGCTGGGCATATCTAATTCATTCAGCTGACTGACAATGTCAGCGTGAGAGAGGAGCAGGTTCCTGACACTTGTACCACAGATGAGATATGGGTTGGAAATAAAAGTTTGGCTGAAATTGTTTTTCTTTTGACAAAAGTAGAGATTCAGCTTTGATGTGTAACAGTGCCAAAAATCCTGTATTATGCTATATGATGGGCTGATCTCTGCATGAGAGGTGTCAGAGAGCACTGGCACAAGACTGGAAGAACAGAACAGAGCTTCTATTTTCAACCATACAAAGAAGCAGTTTTGCAAACTTGTTGAAAGGTTTTTGATTTATTTTGTATGTTTGTTTATATTATGTTGTTGTTTTATTTAATTATTTATTTAATAACACAACAACAACAGTGAAATGTATTAAGTAAATGATGATGAAACTAATATTAATATGTATTGCTATTTGAAAGTTTTATATATTTGTTTATTTGTTTATTAACAACATCATAATAATTATTGTAATTGTAATAATGATTGTATTGTAATATTTATTAATTACTACTAGTACTACTACTACTACTACTACTACTACTAATAATAATAATCATAATAATATTCATTATTATTATTTATATTTATTTATTTTAGACAAATATATGTTTGTTTATTATTATTATTATTATTATTATTATTATTATTATTATTATTATTATTATACAGTTATAATAGTATAATAACATGAATAATGGGTGAAGAGGCCAAGGCTAAAATCAGAATATTCATAATTGACATGTAAATATTTTTGGTTTGCTGATGTCAGACCGAGATGTTTTAGGAGTTTAGTTACAATCAATGCTCTTTTGGGAGATGATGCCTTAAGGATAAATCCTTAACAGGTTGAATCTATGAACTGAAGGCTAGGGGCTTTTTTTCTGCTGAGTGCAGTGATATTAAATGTATAGAGAGGAGATATGGACTATGTCTGCGTCTGCTGTGTATTGTATGTGGGCCGACTGTCATTGGGAAAAGGTGATGGAGGACCTCATTTTGTGCCCCTAGAAATGCACTTTTCTCTGCTTCTCACGTACATACACACAAACACACACACACACACACACACTTGCACAAACTATAGAGTGTCTGTCTGGTGCTGTATTGGTCTATTTAGGCCATTTTCTTTTCATATAAATCTTCAGGCAGCGTCCCAGGTTTTCATAGCAGACTGCAGTCAGTGTGAGTTTATACATGTGCACCCACATATACCGGTTTATTTCATTGTGAAGGAGCTGCAGCGCAGACCAATCTCACACCGAGGGATGAGAAGTGCATACTGTGATAAAGCTCCCTGTTGCTCTAAGGGTTGAGACCATGCACTTAGGCAATCAGAGTTTGGTTGGGCCATGTGCTTGTGTTGTGCTTGGCAGTGCAGAAAATGCATTTTAACCTCTACATTACCAACTCATGTGTGTGTCTTAATAGGAGCAGAAAAAATATGCATTTATTGTCTGATTTTTAATCATTAGTGGTACATAAACTTTTATGTTTGTAGCCTGTTTTATCTTAAGAATCAGGGAGAAAACTACCTTGGTTTTAATTTTCCACATTCTCTTCTCTTGCCTCCTCTTTCAGTCAATTCCATTTCTCCATCTTCTGTACTTTAACCAACTCCATGTCTAGATATAGTTACTGCATCCCATGCCAGCAAGGATATAGCCCTAACCCCGTCCCTCAACCTCGGAGTGAAAATGTGTGTTCGGACAAAAGAGCTTTGTTGTTCCAAAATCACAGAGTGAGTGCTGATCGCTTACTTCCTGTTCTCCTTAAAGGCAATACAGTTGCGCTAGCATTATTCTCCTGTCGAGGACACTTGTGACACCCACTTGCATTCAGGGGAAAAAAACGCTCAATAGAAAAAATGCCATGGGCATTTCAGCAAATAGATAGTCACAGTTCTGCATGGCAGAGAGGTTAAAGAAACTAAGCATTTTGGATTTAGGGTTTTGTCCACGGTGAGGTGTTGAAAATTGAAAACCCTATTGCTGGCTAGGTGTCAGACTGCTACATTTTCTTTCTCTTGCTTGTCTTTCACATTCGCACACACTCTACACACACTCGTTTTCCCTTTTCAGATGAGAATTCACTCTTCTGTCTGTTGCTAGGTAGCATTGTCGCGCTCCTTATTGTTTGACTCTGGAGGAAATATCATACGTTAAGACCCCTCTGCTCTCCAAACTAAATCAATTACAGGGTTTGTTTTGGTTTCATCCTTGAGTATCAGCCCTCAAGGACACCTTTGTCTATATCGCACACATACACTCACTCACAGCCGCACACACTCCATCCCGAGCATTCATATATTCACAGTCGCAATCAATGCCTCAGATAGACAGTGTCAGGTTGACACACATGTCAAAATGTTAAGCAAAAGGTTTCGAGCATGGCCGATCACGTGTGAATATGTCACTCTGTCGCCTGTTAGCGGGAGACTATGGGAATAAGGCAACATTACAGTTAGGCTTGGCATTTCTCGCCTTCAAAACTGATCATGGCAGACAGCAGCAGGGCGGCGTTTAACCTGGATGCCCTTTTGATAAGTGTTGTTTACGTAACCAACCACTGGCCTTTTGGAGCCAGACTAGCCCATACATCCTAAAGAGTGTCTCAAGAACAGAGCATGTAGATAACGTGCATGTGGCCTCAGTAACCCATTGGAACAACCAATAGGAAATTGACATTTTTATAATCATAATTCACATGATGAGTGTGTGAGGAGCAGCCTGCTGCTAATACAGCTCATTTCAGCTTGCTTACAACAACCTTCACTCTCTCTGTTCCGCTGTTGTGGAATGACATTTCAACCTCCACCTGATCTACTGAAACCATCACAAACTTCAGTCTGAAGACGCAACTCCACGAGCACTTACTATCTAACCTACAGTACACAGCCATGTGGTGAATAAAGCAATGGTTCAACCAAAAATGAAATTTTTGTAAAATCATTTACTCAAAATCATAACGTTCCAAACATGCAAGACTTACTCCTGTAAGTACATAGATTTGTTTGAGGAACAAAAAAAATAATGTTTTAAATGTTTGTTTTATTTGTATTAATTTTTTTTGTTTGTTTGCTTGTTTTTGCATGGGGACAAAAACCAATAAACTATTCAAAATTATCTTTTGCAATCCATTGAAGGTTTTTTTTTTTTTTTTTTTCAATACCAAAAGGGGGGGAAAAAAACCCCCTTTTTTTTTTTTTTTTTTTTTTTTTTTTACTTTTTTTTTAGGTTTTTTTTTTTTTTTTGCAATGACACAAGGGTGAGTAAATAGCACCCTTAGTTTTTTTTTTTTTACTATTTGTTCAACTATTCTTTCTTTTGTCTTGCTTTTGTTTTATTTTTTGTTGCTTTTCAGCCTACCTCTCCTTTACATGTTTGGAGAGCGATTCGATCCTTTGAAAGGATCAATCCAACAATCCAAATTCCTTTGTAATTGCATCAAAATTGCATCAAAAATTTCTTCTTTTGTTATCTATTGAAGAAAGAAAAACATAAAGGTTTTTAATGTCATGAGGATGAGTAAATAACGTCTTTTTAAACTATTCCTTCAACTATTCCTTTTCCTCTCTAAGTTCCTGTGCTTTTATACTCCTTTGGTTCACTCTTAAAATGCTTCTTCACTCCTTTATGAATAGTTGCTTGTGCTTTTTCCTCATTTGTTAGTCACTTTGGATAAAAGCATCTGCAAAATGATAAAATGTAAATAGCTCAGATTTTACACATGAATATATGTGCACGCAAGTATACACGTCTTGTCATGCAAACAGCTCTCATCTACCGTCAGTGGGAATAAGCTTTCATTTCAAAGTGCTTCTAATATTCACACGCTTTTTGATAACCAGCGGGACAGTGAGTGTGTAGGGCTTATTGTGTCTGTGTGTGCAATGCTGAAACAGTTGAGAAACATGGAACTCTTACACAATGTCTCTGTGGGGCAGCCTAAGCGGCTTATATTAATGGGACAAGATCAATGTGAAACCCTCAATGATGGCGGCAGACTCATCAAGCCCCATTGTTTCAGTAGTGGCTCAAGAGTGGCATAGCACAGCCAGGTTCTGAGGTCTATGACCATCAGGGAAGTAAAGAGGCCGGCTTGAGTCTGTGCTGCCTATCGGATGGTTATTAAACTAATGATGGAGGAAAGTTGGGGGAATGTCAGCGAAACGACATTCCTGCTGTCTTCCAGAGTATTCTTCTGAGAGGCCTATGGTTCAGAGTCTCTTGATGGTTGCTTCTGGCAGTTTGCATCCTCTCTCTGCGATTTCTTTATCTTTTTTTTTTTTTTTCTTAGGCACTTCTCTTCCTCACGTACTCTGCACTAGGTGTTGCACTGCTGATAAAATGAAGCAGAAATGAATGCAGTGAAATAAAAAAGCAAAGAAATAAAGTTGTAAATGGTCAGGAGGCAGCGAACTTGGGGAAAAAAAATGTTTCCATGGAGAATAATCCTAATACGATGCGCATTGCTGCGCGCTGCCAATTACCCAGACTGCCGTTTTTACTCTAGCATCGTAGACGGCCTGCGCCCAGTTACTGTTGGCGAAGTTTGTTTCCGCTTTCTTTTCCACTTCTGACATTTAAGGATTCAACGACTTTTATATAAGAATAGACTTTTTCAGACTCATGACCTCCAAATCTAGCTAGACACATTATAAGCTGATAAGACAGGACTTGTGTCAATGTGTTCATGTGTGTACAATATGTAGCTATACTGCAGTTCAAAAGTTTTGGGTCAGTACTTTTTTTTTCTTTTTTGAAGAAAATTAATACTTTTATGCAGCAAGGACGCATTGATTTGATATAAAAATGACAGTGACTATTCTATTCTTTAAATAAAAACCCTAAAAAAAATCATGGTTTCCACAAAAATATTTGTATCAATAACATTGATAATAAGAAATGTTTATTGAGCACCAATCAATCATAAAAGAGCAAATTTAAATACACATGAAAATTTTAATTTCACAATTATTACTATTTTTACTGTATTTTTGATCAAATATATGCAGCCTCGAAGGACATAAGAGACTTCTTTCTAAAAACTAAATATCTTACTGACCCAAAACCTGTGAAATATGTTACTGGAATATTATTTTGACAAATATTTGTATTGATTATATTATTTTCCTATTCGAATATATGCTGTAGATGCATAGATAGACCAGTGTGGTTACCATTTACACCCTAAAGATCCAATAATGATTATGTTTTCTAGTCATAGACATGTTCGGCATGTTTTATGTTTTCTTCAATACTTCCCAATTATGTAGAGTTCCTTATCGGTGTGGCAAAGAGGCATAGTGGAGCTGAGGGTTGGATGGAAGAGTGATGGTTTCCGTCCTTGTATCCACCACAAGTCCCAGACTGTGTTAACCTTTAGAGAATGCAGCCTGTGAGGAAATGGAGCTTCGGTTCTGTTGGCTGAATCTCATCATATGGCAGACTCTACCTTTGCCCTTCATTTACTATTGGCTTGTCGCTTTTTTCACCCCTCACTCCTTGTCAGTCACCAGTAGTGTAACAAAGTGTGTTAGTGTTTTTTCTAGGAATCCTCTCTGTTTATTTTGGCGTGTTTCTCTGAACAGAAGCTATAGGCTTTGTGTCCTCTGTCCTCTGCTCGTGTCCTAATCACTTCATTTGTTTAGTTATGCCGCTCCCTGCGCGGTTGCTTCAGCATCTCTTTCCTCTGGAGCTGAGAGAAGCAGATGGCTTCCTTCAATTTCCGAGGCTCCCTTCCCTTACACAGAAACTGCAACATTATGAAGCTATATGGATATGCCATCTTAAATGTATTATGCACATTTGCGTGTGTGCTCGTGTCTGAGAGGGAGACTTCAAAAAGATGGAGAATGTGTCTTACTAAGAGACACCAGCATCATGGACTATTAGAGTTCAAAGGCTTGTGGTTCTCCTGAAATAAGATCAATTACGTTCTTCGTCATAATGGCATTCTCATGTTTTCTGCCCACAAAAAGGGGGGGAAGCTAAATCAAAGCATTAATGAATCATGATGAATAAAACATAGCTGAATGTAAGCATAAACAACTTTAATTCCAGTTTCTTTTTCTTTTAAGAGCTCGGTCTATTAGAATAAACGGAAATTGCTATTTATGGTCACAGGACATGTTAATGGCCCGTTTTCACACCACTTGCTGACGCAGTACAAATGACTTTGTGGATATTAAATGGAGATATTACAAAACGGAAGGCTATTTTTTACATTCTTATCATGATGTGTCTAAAAGTGATGACAGGAACAAGCATTCAGAGATTGTAGCTTGCTAAATAGGGTGAGAGGTTAAATATGTTTTGTAATCATTTCACTGAGAATCTCGCTTGTTGAATGTCTAAATGACAAATGAGTCACAAAGAGTCCATTTTAATGAAGGTTGACGCAAAGCACTTCATGGAATACACAGGACCGCATTTACAAGGAGGTTTGCATTTGCATTCCACACACTGCGCAAAAAAAAAGGTGCATGTTTTACCGGATCTGACAGGAAATGTTTGGGAAACTTTTGAAACAATCACTACAATTCCATTCTCTAGTGGTAAAGAAATTACCTCAGCTTTAGGCCAAAACCCCCATCTATTTACTTTGCAGAGGTGAACACATTACAATTTTTCTCAGGTCTGTCACTTTAGGCTACATACTATAAAAATGTCTTCATTACCAAGGTTCGTCCAGGTGGGCACTTCAATTTGAAATCCCATTACAGGTATGAAGGAACTTATGGACATTTTTTGCCATATGAAAGAAAGAAGCAAGCTGTTATTGAAAATTAGAAGTAATGGTAGAGCGTGTTGAATTTATACTACGTAATCCACAGCTCTTAGATTGACTTCTGAAGTAAGAATAAGTATAAATCTGAACAAAGAAAGATGAGTGTAACGTGTGTATATATATATATATATATATATATATATATATATATAAATCAAAATCTCTCCTCCAGGAATTTATGAGTCTCACCATCTGTACAAAAAGCTACACATATTGCGAATCAGCTTATTATTTTAGAGTCATCTGGAGTTTTACGAGTTCAGAGATTGTATATAAATTATGTGCAATCAGCAACCGCACATTTCATCTACAGGATGAAATCAATAAAGGAGGGAGACATACTCTATAATATTAAGAAAAGAAAGGTGGTAGGCACTACACATACCAAAATGTTCAACTCAGTAATGGGAAACTGTACTGATATGTAGGAAAGGAAGTGAGAGGGATGAGATTTTTTTTATTCTGTCTCAAAGTACTCTTAATAGCGAGTCTTCTTCTAACAGCAATTAAAATCACAATGAAAATTAATTGTATGTGCAATCAATGATGTTATTTGACTGTAAAAGAAAAGCACCTTTCAAATATTTAGCTTGGGGGTTTTGCCGACCCAGGGCAAATGTTAACTTGTTGTCCACTTAGTGGACTAATTAGATAAAACAGTCTTGATGTATTGCTATGTTAGCTCTTATGAGATCTGTGACCTCCTTTGGGATTATGTATATAACTAAGCAAATGTTTTGTTCCAAAATCTAGCTGCCTATATAGAGGCAGCTTCTTTTAACGAATTTTAGGCACACTTCTGACACTAAGGCTTTTCAAAACGGTAGGCGTCTTATTTGTGCTAAGCCTAAGATCAGGGCTGGGCAACTTCGGTCCTGGTGGGACACTCTCCGAATCAAACACACCTGCCTGTAGCTTTCTAGTGATCTTGAAGACACTGATTAGCTTGTTCAGGTGTGCTTGATTAGGGTTGGATCTAAACTCTGCAGGACTCTGAACCTTCAAGGAATAAAAACAAAAACCGGAAACGAATTAAATTTTGACAGAAACATAACCAGAAACAGAAACGAAATCAAATTGAATAGTTCCTAACAG